CGGGGGGCGGAGGCAGAGGCCCCTCCCCCGGGCTGGAGGCAACTTTGGCGGGGGGGCGGGGGAGACTCTGAGCAATTGCCCCCACCCTTTGTCCCCTGGCGCGGCCTCTCTGTGGGGAGGTCTGTTGGGAGCTGGGGAATGGCGCGGGTCCTCGCGCCGTCTGGGAGGGGCAGGGAGACGCTGGCGGACCGGGGAAGGGGCGGAACTGCGGCGAGACTCTGCGGACCCGGAAGGCCGCTCTTGCAACCCCTGTTGGCGTCCCGAGGTCCCCGCTGACAGCAGCCTGCTCTTCTTCCTCCAGCTTTTACCCCCGGCTTGACTTGTCCGCGGCCTCCGCTTTTCCATCCCCTTGTGCCTGGCGGTTAAAATATATTTTATTGATTTTTCGCAGTTTCCGGGTTCGGCTCAGGGCGCTCTCTGGACTGATCCAAGTGGAGGAGGGATTTTTCAAGTTTCGCCTGAAATATAGGACCGAGAACTTAAAACCAGCATTAAAACTATGTTTCTAATGCGAGAACCTGTCTTGTCCGTCGCTCCTGTCATGTCTGTCTAGGGAAGAGGTTTCTGCTCGTCCTAGAATGATCCCTGGGACCTTGCTTCGTAACTCACAACTCAAAGTCATGGAAGGCTAAAAGGAGCCTCCAGGCGGCTCGGCAGGTTAATCTATCGGGAGAATAGGAAACTTAATTATGACCCTAAGCCTTGTACGTGATTTTTGTGTAAGAAGTTGTGGGATTGTAGAAAACTTGTCTTAAACACGTTCTATTTGTGAACGCAGAGTTTAAGGAATACAGAATCTGCTAAAAAGCATGGCCATACTTTGGGTTTGTAAATAAAAATTATCTTAATCGAAATGGTTTTCAGCCGCAGGGAGTTAGGTGAGTTTTTCTTCTTCTTCTTTTAATCAGTTAGGTGAATCTTGACTCTCTTTGAGAATGTGCTAAAAGTTATAGAACCTTTCCCCCAGAAAAGTGCAGGTAACTGCTTAGACGAAACTTCCTTTGAACCTGGCATCCGTGCTCTTTGCATTTGGCCACTTGTACTGGCTGAGCAGCCCTCGGTGCCTGTCCAAGAGGCCAGCCCTGATTGCCAGGACCCCAGACTTCTGTGTTTGCATTTTCTTTCAGGCTTTTTGTAATTCTTCCTCTATCTTCATATGCTTTAGCTGTCATATTTTTGTTGTCTAAGAGAATTTGACCCTATTCATTTTGTGAATTGCTCTCTATATACAATGATCCAAGAAATTGAATATTAAGCTTCCTTGGGTAGTGTCTCCTACTATGAATAGTAGGCAGTCAGTAAATGGTAGGTGGTATTATTCTTTTTTTTTTTTAAATATATTTTATTGATTTTTTACAGAGAGGAAGGGAGAGAGATAGAGAGTTAGAAACATCGATGAGAGAGAACCATCGATCAGCTGCCTCCTGCACATCTCCTACGGGGGATGTGCCCGCAACCCAGGTACATGCCCTTGACCAGAATCGAACCTGGGACCTTTCAGTCCGCAGGCCGACGCTCTATCCACTGAGCCAAACCGGTTTCGGCGGTGGTATTATTCTTGTTGTGTTCCTGTGTTAGTGAGGAACTGATCATGGATGCCTAAAGGTACTTTTGCTTCCTGAGGTCACAACCATGGATGCTATTCGAAGCTACGTAGATACTTTTTAATTGAGTTGGCTGTGTGAGATAGCAGAGAGAATGGCCAGCTCCTTCCTTCTGCGGTGGCTGCTGCGTCTCTGTTCCAGCGGGTTGTGGCTGCATTGGAATGTGGCCTAGACGTGCTGGGTCTTGTGGTGTTATGTTTTTGTTTTTGAAAGAAAAGCTATAGCCCAGCTGGCGTGGCTCAGTGGTTGAGCTTCAACCTATGAACCAGGAGGTCAGGGTTTGGTTGCCGATCAGGGCATATGCCTAGGTTGTGGGCTCAATCCCCAGTGTGGGGTGTGCAGGAGGCATCTGATCAATGATTCTCTCTCATCATTGACGTTTCTATCTCTCTCCCTCTCCCTTCCTCTCTGAAATCAATAAAAATCTGTTTAAAAAATAAAGAGAAAAACTAGAAATTTAGGCTTTTATGTGAAGTTAGCCAGAAATTAATTCAAATTAAAAAACAAAAACAAAACACTGTTGGCCCCATCTAAACATTCATGTACCAGTACAGTCTGTGGACTGCCAGTTGGGTGAACTTTAAAATAAGGAAGTGGCCAGGTATGTGACCTTCAGCTAGTTCAGTTAAGAGTGACCACATTTAGCCCTGGCCGAGTAGCTCAGTTGGTTCGAGAGGTGTCCCCACACAGCAAGGTTGAGGGTTCGATCCCTGGTCAAGACACATGCAAGATTTAATCAATGAAGGCATAAATAAGTGCAACAACAAACTGATTTCTCTTTCTCCCTCCTTCTCTCTAAAATCAATAAATAAAATTTAAAAGAGTGACCATATTTATTTTCTGAAGTTCCGTTTATGAGAAAAATTGAAGTATCATTACTCCACTTGCTTTATGTTTTAAAGTAATTTTTTAAAATTTTGTTTTATTGCTTAAAGTATTACATATGTCTCCTTTTTTCTTTCCCCCTTGACATTCCCCCGGCCTCCCCTAACCCCCAGTGTCTTGTGTCCATTGGTTATGCTTATATGCATGCATACAAATCCTTCGGTTGATCTCTTACCGCAAAAAAAATCGATGCTGCTCTGCCTCTGTATCTATTTTTGTTCATCAGTTTATAATGCTCTTTATTATCCATAAATGAGTGAGGTCATGTGGTATTTTTCTTTCATTGACTGGCTTATTTCACTTAGCATAATGCTCTCCAGCTCCATCCATGCTGTTGAAAATGGTAAGAATTCCTTCTTTTTTACAGCAGCATAGTATTCCATTGTGTAGGTGTACCACAGTTTTGGTTGCCAACGGTACTTTATTTTTTCTTTTCAACATCCTGTTCTGCAGCTTCTTTGGCTCTTTTTGCCCTGATGCCAAAGAGCCGGGCATTGGCATGGGCCAGGCGAAGACTGACAAAAGCCTTGAAGTTCTCCTCCTCCTCTGTGATGACCCTGGCTTTCTCCTTCTTGTAGACATTCTGGATGGGCATGACTGGTCCGCTCAGCTGGGTGGCCAATTTGAGTTCTTCAGCAGAACTGTCTCCCTTCTTGGGGGCCGAAGGCTTCCTGGGGAAGAGGATGGGCTTGGAGCGGTACTCCGTCAGCCGCTGCACGTTGGCCTGCAGGGACCCACCGAGATCCCAGTGGTCCAGGCCACCTTTTTGTGGCTGCCAGCCGTCCTTAACCCTTCCAAGCTGAATGGTGGTTCCTGGCGGTGGGGCATCTCACTATGGGTCGGATAGGTCAGAGGGGGATGCGGATAGGTCAGAGGGGGATGCGGCGCTTTGGCTTGCCTGGCCTTGCGTCTGTGGACTGGTTAAACCACGTGGCAACGCGCCGCTGCCGGTCCTTGTGGAAGTGGGGCTTTAGGATCATGCCATTTCGGCTGGGCGCCATGGCTGCTGCCTACGGGCCTTCTCCCAAGGAGAACGGCCTGTTTTAAAGTAATTTAATGTGAAATTGTTTAGGGAGTTAAAGCAAAAGTATGTATGGTCTGCTGTTTAGTTAAGAGCAGACTTGTCAGTGTAAAACAACTGTTTTGAAACTAAGGAAAAAGGAGAAAATGTGCCAAAATTGTAGTTGTCTTGAGGGATTTTTTCTTTCATCTCCAGATCAGACCTTTCTTCTGAGCTTTGGGCAAGTGTATCCAACTGCCGACTCTGCATTTCCTCGTAGGCGTTGCATAAGCACCTAAGAAACAACTCACCCTTTCACTCCCTTCCCTCTCAGCCTATATACTCGTCTAGATTGTCTTAGTAACTGTGTGTTCTTCACTTCTCGTAGATGGGTGTTCTAAGTAGCTCCCTCCCCCCCACAACCCCAATCCATCCCCTGCTCTGTCGTCACCTGAACTCGTTGGTCCAGGGCATCCTTATATCTCATGGACCAGTGCAGTCTCCTCACACTTGTGTCCCAGAATTCCTCCGGCTCACATTTTGCTTTGTAGCTGAAGTATCTGCCTAAGAGCCCAATCCCGTCATGTCACTCTCCTTTGAACCCATCAGGGGAACCCTTTCCCCCTTAAGGGGGAGCTGACAGTCCTTAATGACGCCGCCAGTCTATCTGTGAGCAGCCTCTTCTCTAGTCTCATTGCCCTTCCTTTCTTTAGTTTCTTAGTTCATAGTGTGCAGCTTGGTGAATTTTTTTTTTTACAACCATGTAACCAGCACCTAGCTCAAGAAACAGGACATAACTAGCACCCCAGAACCCCCACCCCCAGTACTCCCTTCTGGTCACCAGAAGTGCTGAAATAGCCAACACAGATCTAAATGAGAAGGAGAGAGGTCTTGCCTTATCCGGTTTCATAACAATAAGCCATATAATACTTGAGGCTGATTGGTGGGACAGAATAGGAAGCACATATAGAAACTCATCTTAATGAGAACAGGATGTGCAATAGAGGCGGCATCATAGAACAGTGGAAGTTAGGACAGGTTGCTCGGAAGGGAGTGGAGGGCAGGTGAGGAGTGCAGTCACTTCCGTGCTTCTCTTATTTGGAATGGTGACATGATACCTGAAAGTGGACATGGGGCGTGAGTTAGGTGAGGGTCCTGCATGTATTACTGGCAAATAGTAATACTTAAACAAAAAGATTGATTTTTGGTAATTATTTGTTAGAAATGTAGAAAATATAAAAAAATAGAAAATTATTACCACTCCAATGGTACTAATCTTTCCATAGTTTGGTGGATTTCTTTCAGACCTTTTATAAATAAATAAATGTAAATATTTAGCTTTTAATTTTTAATTTTTTTTTTTTTTTTACAAATTTAGCTCTTACTGTATATCGTTTGGATTCTGCTCTTTGCATTTAATATTTTGTCCAGCTTTATTGAGGTGTAATTGACAAATAAAAATTGCATGTATTTAAGATATCCAATGTGATAGTTTGATATACATATACATGGTGAAATTATTACCACAATTAAGCCAATTGACATATCATCACCTCACATAGCTACTTTTTTGTGTGTGAACAATTAAGATTTCTCTAAGCAAATTTAAAGTAAACAACAACACAGCATTGTTAACTGTAGTCAGTATGCTGTATGTTAGATCTGAGAAATTACCCTGCATATCTGAAACTTTATACCCTTTGACCAGCATCTCTCCATGCCCTCCACCATCCTCTTCCACCCCCTGCTCCTGGTAACCACCATTCTATTCTCTGCTTCAGGAACAATTTTAAATTCCACATGTAAGTGAGATCATGCAGTATTTACCTTTGTGTGTCTGGCTTATTTCACTTAGACAGTTTCATCCACGTTGTCAAAAAGGATAAGATTTCCTTCTTTTTAAGGCTGAATAATAATCCAGTGTGTGTGTGTGTGTGTGTGTGTGTGTGTATTTCTTATTCATCCCATGACAACTACTTAGGTTGTTTTCATATCTTGGCTATTGTGAATAATGCTGCAATGAACATGGGGGTGCAGCTATTTCTTTGAGATAGTGATTTTATTTCCTTTGGATGTTTGCCCAGAAGTGGGATAGCTGGACCATATGGTAGTTCTATTTTTAATTTTTTGAGGAACCCGCATACTGTTTTCCATACCAGCTGTTCCAATTTACATTTCCATCAACAGTGTAGAAGGGTTCCCTTTTCTCCACATCCTCATCAATTCTTGTCTTTTGACAGTAACCATTGTAGCAGGTATGAGGTGCATTTCCCTCCTGATGAGGGATGTTGAGCATCTTTTCACATACCTGTTGGTCATTTATATGTCTTTTGAGAAATGTCTATTCAGATCCTGTGTCCATTTTAAAGTCACGTCATTTGTTTTCTTGCTGTTGAGTTGTTCGAGTTCCTTATGTGTTTTGGATATTAACCCCTTATCAGATATATGGTTTGCAAATATTTTTCTCATTCTGTAGATTGCCTTTTCACTGTGTTACTGTAATTGTTTCCTTTGCTGTGCAGAAGCTTTTCAGTTTGATGCAATCCCATTTTTCTGTTTTTGCTGTGTTACCTGTGCCTTTGTTTTCTATCCAAAAAAATCATTACTCGAACCAATGTCAAGAAGGCAGTTCCCCTGGGATGGCAGCTCCAACTCCACTTTTAAGTGGCTCCAGTTATATTATTATTATTTTTAAAAATATTTTTATTGATTTCAGAGAGGAAAGAAGAGGGAGAGAGATAAAGAAACATCCATGGTGAGAGAGAATCATGGATTGGCTGCCTCCTGCAAGTCCCCACTGGGGACCGATCCCACAACCCAGGCATGTGCCCTTGACAGGAATCAAACCTGGGGCCTTTCAGTTCAGAGGCCGATGCTCTATCCACTGAGCCAAACCGGCCAGGGCTCCAGTTATATTATTTTCCATATGTCCTAAGACATCCATCCTATGTAGTTGAATTAGTTTCTTTTCTGTACATCTAAGATAGCAGTAGCCATGTAACACCCTTGGGAGAATTGAGAAAATAGTCACTCAAATCACTTTCTGTAGGGGCTAATCACTCTCACAGTCCTGAGGAAGGTCATGAACCTTAGCTTTTCTGGCTTTTATGCTCTCGCAGCTCCCTGATGCCTCTCAGCAAATGACTTCTATTATCTTAGCTGGCTTTTCTGCTTCTCCCTGGGAGTGCTAATTTGCTGCAAGTTACTCCATCCTACCAGGAAGTGGAAGTCTGGCCAACATGCTTTAAATGCATAGCTGGGCTCCTAGGAAAATGCCCAGGGGCCAAAAATTAAAAATTAAAAAGGTGGCAAGAAGGAGCTGACGCTCCAGTGGGTAAAAGAACACAAGTCAGGGCTGCCCTGAAGCCTGGCAGAAACTTGGACCCTAGAGTCTTGGATTTTAACAACTGGTGAGGAGGAGGAGGAGCCAAAGCCTTAGAACGAGGCAGGAGTGGAGCTAGAACTGTGTCCCTGTCCTCAGCCCTGAATATGGGACTCTCAAAGAGCTGTGTTGCTTGAATGGAAGAGTGGGCTAGGAAATAAAATGGCAGGAAGATGTACGTAGTAGCTGTGTGTGTGGTGGTGGGAGGGGTGGTTTCTGATTGTTCTGTTGAAGATCTGTTCCATGGCCTTGCCTAGGCCGTTGGTGTTTGCAGTTAGACCAGTGGTTCTCAACCTTCCTAATGCCGCGACTCTTTAATACAGTCCCTCATGTTGTGGTGACCCCCAATTTCATTGTTACAAATTGAACATAATTAAAGCACAGTGATTAATCACAGAAACAATATGTAATTATATATGTGTTTTCTGATGGTCTTAGGCGACTCCTGTGAAAGGGTCGTTCGCCCCCTCAAAGGGGTCACGACCCACAGGTTGAGAACCGCTGAGTTAGACTGTCTCTGATATCCAGAAGATCCAAGTCTAGGAATGAGTAATTACCACTCACACAAAGAAACAACCTACTGTGAACATCAGCAGAGACAAGGACAAAGAGCAGAGTCAGACCCCAGACACCTCAGTGTGTGTAAAAGAGCTATATTTAAAATGGAAAGAAACAAAGGATGAAATTTAAAAATACGAGCAAGAAGCAAAACCACTATCAAAAAAGACTATCAGATTTGAGGAAGAACCAAATGTAAGTTTTAGAAAAGTGCTTAGCATTTAGGAATTACATAATAACTGTTAGCTTCTTGCAAACTTAGCGAAGGCGATTTGATTTAGGCAGGTAATTCTCAATGTGAAACTCATGGCTTTCTTTGTAGAGTCTTCACTGATACTGTTACGGGCCTACGGTCCGCTTGCCCAACACTTCAAAAGGCCAAAACTCAAAACATCAGTCTGGAGGAAGGAAAAGCTTATTGATGGAGAAGGTGCCAATCAAGAAGATGGAGGCCCTAGTAGTTCCTCAAATCCATCTTAAGGAAGGACAGAGTTTAGGCTTCTTTTATGTCAAGGGAAGGGGAAATGGGAAGGAGCTGTTTTTGTAAAAACTAAAGCCCAAGCAGAATCCCTCTAATGATTAGTATGTCTCAAGCAGGACCTACTAGCCTGAGGGCCATGGGAGCAGCACAGGCCCAACAAGATGGGGTCCCAGAGACCGAGCATTTCACTCTGTTAACAATACCATGGTTCTGTTGGCCTTCTCAGTTGAAAAATAATATCGCTTAGGTCAGTGGTTCTCAACCTTCTGGCCCTTTAATACAGTTCCTCATGTTGTGACCCCCAACCATAAAATTATTTTCGTTGCTACTTCATAACTGTAATTTTGCTACTGTTATGAATCGTAATGTAAATATCTGATATGCAGGATGGTCTTAGGCGACCCCTGTGAAAGGGTCGGTCGACCCCCAAAGGGGTCGCGACCCACAGGTTGAGAACCGCTGGCTTAGGTGCTTCCTCACCAGAAAAGATTTATTCAGGAAAAAGAAAGGGTTGCAGCCCCATGCATGCAGACATGGCAGGCCACATGCACACTTGGCCTTTGTGCCCAGATGGAGGGGTATTTATAGAAGGGAAAAGGAAGTTAAGGGAAGGAGAACCATAGAGCTGTATTATAAA